CACACACACACACACACACACACACACACACACACACACACACACACACTAACCCAGTTACTGGCTTCCTTCTGGGTGGAACCCCCGGCCCCCCTGCCTACCTGGGACCCGGCTTGTGGCCTCTGAGGGAACAGAGCCAGGCTGGTGGGTCTCTCTGGTCGGTGTTGGTCCATGACGGCGCCGCCAGGTCCTCCTCTGACAGGCGACAGCTTCCTCCCTCCTCTTCCTCCTCCTTTATCAGTCGGTGCTCCTCGGCTCGGGCTAGGCCTCCTCCACCCTCCTCTTCCTCCTCCTCAGTGCTCTCAGCATCATCAGCTCTGAGCTCTGCTTCTGGACACGCCCCCCTCCTCTCCTGATTGGTCGGCTGCAGCGTCACATCATTTTCCTCAGCATCCCAGGCGGGAGGAGGAAGAGGAGGAAGAGGAGGAAGAGGAGGCAGGCAGTGTTGAGCGGTGATGGAGGGACTCAGGACTGAGAGGGAGATGAGGGAGAGATGCACCGAGAGGAAGAGGAGGAGGAGGAGGAAGTCAGGGACAGCCAATCAGAGCGAGGCATGACATCATCAGCTGATCTGCCTCCAAGCTAAAAACACACAGAGTGACTTAGTGAAATAAGATCAGACACAAAGAAACAGACAGGAAACGAAATGGGAAGCAGTCAGTCAGGAAAATAAAAGTCTGTAAAACCAAACTGTCAGAAAAAATAAAAACAAATTAAAACATCTGTTTATTAGAAAGCAACGAAGAAAAACAAACCAGTCTTTGAGCTGGTCAGAACCAACACCCAATCAGAAACTCACCTTTTATTTCTCATAGTCACTAAAAAAAGTCTAACTTTAAAACATTTAAATTTAAATAAACCAGTCAGTGAAGTTTACATTTTACCTTCGGACTCACCGGCGCCTCCTGCTGGTTTCATCCTCAAACTCTAATATTCTAATATCCTAGGATGCAGCATCTGATTCAAAACATTTTGATTACCAACACCACTAAATCCTGATGGAGAGGCCCAGAACTGAGCTTCAGGAGAACTTTAGTTGAACAAATACAGGAGTTGAGTCACCTGATCTACATTTACCTGAGCCATCACCAGTGGCGTCACTAGGCCTTTTTTAGGGGGGGCTGGAGCCCCCCTAAAATATTTGAAACCCCCTCTAAATTATTTTGGTGTATTACAAAAATTCAATATGATGTGGTCAGAATAAATAACCATTTAATATTTCATTATTAACTAAAATATATGATCATAAATCTGTCAGTTTCCCTTTAATTTATAGTGTAATACTCTCCCACCACATGAAATCCAGTCCACGTTTTTCCTGCAACCTTAATAGCAACATGCTAGCAGGTTTACACACAGAGCCAGCTCAGTGCAGCATGAAGGCTCAGTGAGCGGACCAGGACAATGCTCAGTGAAAACTGGATATACAAAAGTTTTTCAAGAAAGTAAGTATTAATCATCACTGCTGGTAGTAACCATAAACATAAAGAGTAGATAGACGGACCGTTAATGCTGTTGTCGCGCCGCGGGCCGCCATCTTGGAAAAGTTGTTTGCTCAATGAATTATCAGCCTGTTTAATCAATCATAACTCGCTGAAAACTAAACTGCTTTACATATTTTTTTCCCACTGGAAACCCTAAACGTACAGTTATCAAAGATCCATGTATAAGAAGAATACATAGTTCAACTTATTTAAATATTCTTAGTAGGGTTAACTGTAATACACTATCCAAATTTAAAAAGCATGATCATGAAATAATGATTATACAATATGAATATAATAAGCATTAATTTATTTATGTTGTACATAAATATATTTCAAAATTTTGATGCATATACAGCGGGTAAAATAAGTATTGAACACGTCACCATTTTTCTCAGTAAATATATTACTAGAGGTGCTAATGACATGAAATTTTCACCAGATGTTGGAAATGAAGTTATTTGTAATAATGTGGAATGGCACAGGGAAAAAGTATTGAACACATGAAGAA